CCCAATGACGTCACTGTGGGGCCGGGAGGCGAAGCGTGGGACTGTGGAGTCCGAGGCCCCGCCCCGCTGTGCGTCGGCGTCCGGATGACGTCACTGCGCGGCGGCCGGGACGCTGGACGCGGGGCTGAGATGATCCGAGGCCCCGCCCCGCCGCCCATCCTCAGTCTAGTGACGTCACCATGTGGCAAGACTCGAAGCTGGAGGCCGGGGCGTTTGACATCCTGCTCCGCCTCTCGTTGACTCAGTGATGTCACCGCGCAGCAATACAGTAGCGCCGCGTGGAGGGCGCGTGCGCTGCAGCCCGTGCAGCCTTTGTCACGGAAGCGTGTGGGTCAAGCTGCTAGATGGCGGTCCTTGCTCACCTGTTTCCGGAGAGGCCCAGAGCTAGAACGGCTTCGTGAGCAGCTCCCTGCGGGACTCGGCTCAGCTTTCCACTGCTGGCCAGGCTAAGGAACACGGCGGCAGCCCAACGCCCGACCCAGCACCCGTTAGGGTACCGCAGACCCTGGAGCTCTGAGAGAGGAAGCAAAGGGTCACAAAACCCCAGCCCACCGCGAGGGATCTCAGAAAGTGAAGCCTCACAGAACCCTGGAGGCCATGAAAAGCTAAGAGGACATGAAGGTTTTCAAACCCCCGAAGGTGCCCTCAGTGGGACACAGAGCCCAAAGATACCATAAACGAAGTGACGATTCACAAATCGTCAAAAGTAACCTCAACCGGACACGAATCTCAGCGATGTCAGGGAGAAAGTGACAAAGGTATCCTGAATGGGACACGAACCCATAAAAGCTCAGAGAGAAAATGATTCACAGACCCAGATAGGACCTAGGCCATGTGATCGCTGGTACTGAGGAGTCATGACCCTTGACTGTACTGCAGAGGCCAGAAGTCTCGGGGAGGAAGTGATGGTTCACAAACTCCCACAGGTACTGAAGATTCTTGACATCCTGAGAGGAAGTAAAGGGTCTCAGACTTCCTGACCTTAGAGAGGACATGATGAACCACACACCTGGCTGAGACATGGGGCCCAAAGACTCAAGAGGAGGCGAATGTTACAGGACACCAAGTAGAACTCAAGAAGTGAAACCTGGGTGAAGGCAGTGTGGGGAAGAAGGGGGGAACCAATTACAAGAATCTAAGTATAGCCTCCTCCCTGGGGGATGGACAGCAGAGAAGAGGGCGGAGGGAGACGTTGGACAGTGTAACTTATGACAAAACTATAATAATTTATGAATTATTAAGGGTTCATGAGGGAGGGGGGTGGGGGGGGGGGGGGATAATGAGCAACTGATATTAAGGGCTAAAGTAGAATGCAAATGTTTTGAGAATGATGAGGGCAACAAATGTACATAACTTCTTGACAAAATGTATGTATGTATGGACTGAGATAAGAATTATATGAGCCCCCAATAAAATAATTTAAAAAAAAAAAGAAACCTACTCTATAGCCATGTTATCAAAACAGCCTGGAACTGGTACAACAATAGATACGAAGACCAATGGATGAGAATAGAGAACCGAGAAATAACCACCACGTACCCATAGACACCTAATCTTTGAGGAAGAACTAAAAAAGGTTTGACAAATGGTGTTGGAAAAGCTGGATCTTCACCTACAAACAACTGAAACAGGACCGTGCCTCACACTATGTACAAAAGAAACGAACACAAGATGGATCAAAGACCTAAATATAAACCACATAACCATGAAGGCCAACAATGAAAAATAGGACCCCTATTTTAAGGATCGATCCTAACGCAAGGCATAAACACACTGCCAAACAATGAGTAACATCCACACAATACCAAAAAACAAACTCACTGACAGCAAGTCACTGCTGACTCATCGTGATCCCCTGTGGGTTTCTGAGACTATAACACGTTATGGGAGTAAAAAGCCCCATTGCTCTCCCTTGGAGCTGCTGGTGGTTTTGAACTGCCAGCCATGCAGACCACAGGATCGCAGCCCAATGAGCAGGCATTACAATACCAGGGTTCATCCACACTATAGACGACAAAGAAATGAGACCTGCTGAAAACACAATAGTTATGCATATCAAAAGGCTGCCAAAAGAGGTACTGGGAACCCACAGATTGGGAGAAAAAAACCTCTAGTAATAATACAGCTAATCTCCAAAATCTATAGGAAACTCAAAAAATACAAATAACCCAGTTGAAAATGGGCACAAGACATGAATAGATAATTTACCAAAGATGACATCCAGGCAGCCAACACCATATGAAGAAATGTTTGCATTCATTAGTATATACTCTAGTATAAGCTGACCCAATTATCAGCCAAGGCACCTAATTTTACCACAAAAACTGCATTAAAAAACGTGCTGAAAAACTCGGCTTATACATGAGTATATACAGTAATAAGTACATATTGAAACAACAATGAG